CCAGCCAGTTGCCAGTTCTGATGAGCTAACTGGGCCAAACCCAAGCCCATTTGTCATGGCAGTATGGCTCTGTCCCTGGGCAGGAGATTGGCCGGGGTCCTGGTGGTCACAAAGCAGAGCACGAAGAACACAGACACTGGTCTTAACTTATCTCGACGTCTTCCGGGTGGTGGCTGTGCCCTTGCCCGGCTGGCTTGTTCTCATCTGGGGACTTTCGGGTTGTTCGTTAGGTTTTCCTTGCTAGATATTTGGATGGCAAAATCTTTGTGGGTGTAAGGTAAGATTGACCTCAAAAAGCCAAAGGTGGGAGTTTCCTGAGAAAACTGGTGGAGCGAGTGTTCTCGAACTTTCCTTTTTTAATACCCGACGATTTGTTGATTACTAAGCTAATCCTCTTCTTAGGATGCACTTTTATGGAAGGAAAAAAACATATATCACTTCAACATCCATGCAGAAGCACAGCTTCCATGTTCAATGCTAGATTACACCTGAAGGCAAATCCTTAGAGTTGCTGAAAACACCGTAGTGTATAAAGGGCTTGTAAAACACCATACGTGGCGCCTGCAGAGTGGCTGAACATCATTTTATTGACTAATGAAACATTTTAAATAACATTAATAAAATTTAGTATCTAATTGCATTAGTAATTTTTAACATTCCACACATATTAAGGGAATGAATGAGGGAGGAGGGCTGTGAGCCAGACACTGAGTGTGTGCCTTATGTAATCCGTAGCCACACATGGGCTGGGTCTTATTCTTATGCAATAGCTTGAGGAAAGGAAGCTGAGGGAGACAAAACCGTGGTTTGACTCAGGTCACACCCACGGCAAACGACAGAGGCAGAGCACAAGCCCAGGTCCAATTGAAGTAATTTTTACCACACATGATCTTGGCTGGCTTTAAAACTATGTATCCTTTGCAAATGACGTAGCCCTCTCCTATAGGGTCTGCCTTTTGCAAAACCTTCCCGTCCTTTTACAGAGCAGATCGCTGCCTCGATGTCCTAACACTTAGCTGGGATAATGAGGACTCGTGCTTTATCCAAAACACAGAAAAAACTAGAAACCAGAACAACCTGGAAAGAGAGTCGACTGTGAGTCATCATTAGAGAACACAAGACCCTTTCTTTTCAAAGAAGGCGATCTCTACATCATCACATGGGGACGTGTGTGCATATTTTGTGCTGCAGGAGACTTGGGTGAACATATGGGCCCATTAATCATGAAATATTGATCGTGGATTGAAACTCTGAAGCAGGTTCCATGACACATGGGTTTGTTTTGTTGGTCCAAAGTGTTAAGGAAAATACCAGAGGGGCCATGTTAACATTCTTCCCCTTCTCTCCTCTGGTTAGCAGGTGAGCGCTCCCCCAATTCACATATCCGCAGCTTCATGAATTATTCATCAAAAGAGCTAAAAAGTCAATCCAATCTGGTTAGATACAGTAGTTCTTGTGGCTTCCAAACTTTTAAATAATGAATGGTTTCATCACTTCCCAGTGGATGTCGAGCAAGAGGAATGTCTGGAATCGAGTCCCACCGGGCCACCGAGGCGACGTCGTCAAGAGCCGTCGTCATTTTTAATAACAGCAGCTCCAACCTATTGTATCGTCACTGCCACCCTCAAGAGGGACCATTCCAGTGAGTCAAGGAGAGGTGACTGAAAAGGGGGCTTTATGGGATCAAATATTGCCCAGAAAAGTACTCTCATGTACAGGGCAGGGTAGGGCACAAGAACACAGCCACAATGTCATGTTGGACTGTGGAAAACATGTGCCTTTTTGTATCCCTGAGTCTTCTGAAGAAAAAAGTCACCTTTCTTTATTCCGATCTCTCTGATCATGATGGGGAACTTAAAGAAAACAGAGTGATAAGAGGCAGAAATGACTGGCGGGTGGTTGGATTGGGCTGATTATTGTCAACAATGGGACCCAGCGCCCAAAGGGAAGCATTTAGCAGATAATCATAGGGGGAAAAACAAACAAACAAACAAAAACTCAGGAATAACTGTCTGTCTCAGGGTGGAAATGTGGTAGTAAAAGTGCGATTGAAGAAATGTACGACAGAGCATGTGTTGAACAGGGCCTGTTGGTGAAGACCCGCAGGAACCGGACCAGAGATCTCCACCCACAGGGTTTCAGAGAGCTCCGTGGAGCCCGTTCACCTCTAGATGGGAGCACACAGGAAGTCTAGAGCCAGGGTGGGCTCCACACTAGGATTGCCGGACAAAGTACAAGTCACCAGTGACACTGGACTTCAGACAAGCAACATAGTTTTAAGTACCGGTGTGTCCCAGATACTGTTTGAGACACACAAAGAAAACATTTTACTGTGTGGTTTTCCAACATTTTCATTTAACTGGGCATCTACTTAAATTTTCATTTGCCACCTGACCCTAGGCCCAAACTCATGTGGAGTTGTTCCAAGTCACACAAGTCCTTAGTGAAAGTGCCTTACATGCACATAACTTGGAGATTTTAAAATATCTGTCCCCATTGCAGTCCCTCCCTCCTTGCCTGTCTTCCTCCCTCTTTTTCTTTCTTTCCTCGGGTTTTCTGGGTGGGCATTTCTGGTTCATAGCTGAGTCACCCCAGCCCTTCTCCTGGCAGAGCCCAGGTCTTCCGAGGAGAGTGCACGTGTGCAACAAGCACCGGCTGCATCTGTGTAAGCTGAGGGTCTGCTTGCCGCTGCTGTGTCCTAGAGATACAGTGAGGTACAGGACGGTTGTGTCTGGGCTGAACATGTGCAGAGCTTTCTTCTTTTCATGACTCCCTAAACAACAAGGTCTAACTGCTATTTAGAGATCAATTACATTGCATTGGGTGTTACAAATCCCCTGGAGACAAAGCACACCCGAGAATGCGCATAGAGGATAAGGCAATGCCATCCCATTTTATGGAAGGGTCAGGAGGTGTCCTGGAAGAATTCTTCTCCCAAACAGAAAGGCGCCCCTGTACCCAGTGGTTAAAATGAAATGCTCAAGTAGAATTCCATCCATCCATCCATCCATCCATCCATTCTTCCCTCCTACAACCTCATTCTTGGAAGAACAATGCTTTGGCTCTGCTCAGGGAGAAGCCTTGCCCCATGTTAAGGGGTGTCTTTGAAACAGTTGTCATGCTCTGGGGCGGGGAGGCTTGGGTCTTGGGGAGTGACCAGGATCCTGGGGACCTGCCTGGGTGTGTGAGGAGGCTGGTTCCAAGTGCGTCCCCCCTCTCTCTCTCCTTTTGCCATTTTTTCTTTTTCCTCATCGAACCTCCCCTCCCTCCTGGGCCGACACTCACACGTTCTCCTCTCTGTTGCCATCTGCGGCGTAGGCCCTGTGATGCCTGTCACCTGTGCCGTGTGGTGGCCTCCTCCCCTCCCCTGCCTTCCTCGTGGGCCTCTGACCGCAGGGGCTGAGCGGCTGGCCTCCACACCACTTTCTCAGCGGAGCGCTTCCTCCCTGCATGCGGCTCTGGCAAGTTGTTTATCTCTCACAAGGATAGTGACAGAGGGAGATAGCATCAGTGAGCCTCTATCTGTCTGGGCACAGATGTCTGCCTCCCTGGCAGCCTCTTCATGGCCCTGCTGAGCCTCACCTTCCAGAAGTCTCCTCCATCCTCCCCCAGGCCCCTCTGTGCCTCTGCAGCTGATCCGTGCAGACCTGGCCCGGCAGGACCTGCGGCGGCCCTGCACCAGGGACACTGCAGAAGCCGGGGAAGGTGGCCCTCCGACCTCTAGTCAGGGCTGATATGCTGCTTTCTGCTGTGTCGCAGATTAGGAGGGGACAGAAGGGGGGGGTCCCGGGGATCCCAGATGGTAATCAGGATAGCGGCTCCTGGGAGAAATGCAAAGGAAGAGAGAGTTGGGGTCTCTCTGTGGCTGATTTCAAATGCCCTGGGCAGGTGGCCTGGGTACAAAGCCCAACAGAACTTTCTGCGGTGATAGAGGGTGCTGCCTCACAGGCTAGCCACCAGCCACCTGCAGAGACTGGGCCCCTGAGGGACTGAGGGACTGAAGAATGAGATTTTAAACTTTATTTATTTTAATTAATTGAAATTTAAATTCAAATGACCACAAGCAGCCAGTGATGAACCCATGGAAAAGCGCAGCTCAGAGACGGCGCTTTCCTGGGGAAGGCTCACCCTCTGTCGGGCCAGCCAGCTTTCCCGACCCCTGAGAATCCTGAGTGGCCGTGGGCTTGTTTGCTCTTAGCTCCTTAGTTCAGATTCGCTGTCCTCAAAGTGCAATTAATCATCTTGCCCAAACTTCCTCGGGGTGTGTTGAGGGAAGACCGTGAAAGATCTGGTCTCAGCTGGAACCCTTAGCGGAAGCCTGTCCACCGGGGCACGACTTAGCTGTGGGATCCCTGTGCCATTCTCCCCAGGAAACCCCGTGACTGAGATGCTGTCACACGTGCAAAGCTCAGGACAGACACCAGGTCGTGCTGCTGCTGCCTGGCAAAACTTATGACTGCTTTTTCACCAAACCCAAAGAGATGACATGGTGACACAAGAGGAGAGCATTTGGGTGCCTAAACAACCTGAGCTTTAAACCAAACCACCAAACCATGGGATGGCTGTGGGCGGGTGACACAGCCTCTTGGTATCCCATTTCCTCGTGTGGGAAATTGAATCCCGGGCTCCCGGCATTGAAGCTGTCAGTAGGAATGACTGAAATGCCAAACTCGGTGCCCAGGTTGATGCCAGCCCCGCATGGCCCCCAAGGAAGCATGCGGAAGAAGCTGGCAGCCCTTGAACGCCTCATGAAGGGCGACTGGGAACCTGACAAAGGAGGTTCTGTAGGTCTGATTGCAGTCTTTACTGAGAGCAAAGAAACTTTGTCTGTTTTCAAACCTCTGTCAAATGCCATGACGTTTCTAGACTTAAGTCACTCACCTCCACTGGGTTTATTTACACGCAGCAAAGCAAAGTTTCCGGCTTTTAAGGAAAGAGGCTTTTAAAATCATATTTAAAAGACCTCAAAAGGTTTCCTAGACATCAAACAGCCCTTAAAATAATATTTTGATGATTTAATTGCAAATAAATCAAGAACATGTGGATAAAATTTCAATCAAAATACCCATGACTTTTCAAAGGCGGGGAAGGGACAGGAGGACTTGGGGTAATGCACTTGGGTTTTTATTGAACCCAGAGCATCTGAGAGATGCTCGGTGACATGGGGCAGGGCTCAGTCAGAGTGGGGCACAGGCTGCCCTGCTTCTTTTGTTTACACCAAAGGAAATCTTGGCCAGGAAGGGTGTTTTCAGCTTCCATCAGATCTTATTTGGAATGACGGGCAGCATCAAGGCCCTCGAGGTCCTGTGGGTTCTCTGCAAACTGGAAGGGAGCACTGAGGTCCGGCAGAGTGGGCTCTCCAGGCCATTTGGTTCCTCAAGTCTACAGGGAGGACCGGGTACTTTGGCCACTGCCCCATCAGCAGGTGGAGAGAATGAAATCACCCTCAGGCTGTGACTGAAGGCAGACCTGCAAGGGAAGGGGACCCGGGGGTCATTCTAGGCTTACACAAGCAGGTGCACACAGCGTCGCCCTGGCCCACGCACCCCCCGATGCACCGGCATATCACACATGGCCGGAGAAGGAAGGGGATTGGGGGGAAGGTGTCCCTGTGCTGCCCCTGGTCCCAGGCTGTGTCGTGCACTCCTCCCGTGAAGGCAAGTCAGCGAGCTGGTGTGGGGACCCAGGAGTCCTTCCACCCCCCTCCTCCCTCCCATCCCTTTCTCGCTCCCTTCCTCCCCCCCTCCCTCGTCTTTCTTTCCCTTCTGCTCTCCTTTGCTTCTTACAGAGCCGCTCCCAGCACACCACGGCTTCACGATGCATCCTGTTCCAATCAATCTCAAATGTCCTTCTGTGCTCAGGAGAAGCCCAGGCTCCTGCCCCTGCTCACCCCCACTGTTCGCGCTGGCGGCCCATCTAACAGTTGATGACTGCGGCCGGTGGCCTGGCACGCCCGTGCACGTGGGAAACCACAGGTTCGGTGACCGTGGCTGTGTCTGAGGCTCCCAGCAGTGAGGCTGAACAATTGGACTCTCTCCGTGAGGAGCGACCTGTGTGCACAATGGACTGAAGAGGGCTTCAAGGAGGGACAGGGGAGCTGAACAGCTAACAATAGGCTTACAGCCATCACAAGGGCCCCACGGGGGCCTCGGGGGCCCCACCACACATCCATGCTCGGCTGCGTTGGTCACAAGAGTACAGGATTGAAGACCTCACCCCTGGGTCAATATCCAGGTCCTTTTCAGCCCTGGGTCACCAGCAGGGTCAGTTAGTTCTCCAGGTGTCTGACGAACAGTTCTCCAAGGTCCCAAAGGAAAAATTCATTTTACTTTTTAAATTTATTTTTTAAGTTATTTTTACCTGATACATACATAAAAATATGAAAGTGGTACTTATAGAGGGGTTACCATGTGATATTTTGGTGCATGTACACCTTGTGGAATGTTTAAATCAGATTAACCATATCCATCTCCTCAAACATATAAATTTTTTTTTCTAAAATCTTTTTTTTTTGACATTCATTTTTTAGTTGTAACTGGATACAATATCTTTATTTTATTTATTTATTTTTATGTGGTGCTGAGGATCGAGCCCAGGGCCTCACCCGTGCTAGGCGAGTGCTCTACCGCTGAGCCACAACCCCAGCCCTCATTTATAATTTGTGTGTGTGTGTGTGTGTGTGTGTGTGGTGAAAACATTTAAAATCATTTTTTTCTTCTTTTTTAGATTATTCAGCACATTGTAGTTACCTCTGGTGGCAAAGTAGCACTGGGGACCCTCTCAGGGGTGTCTAACTGTAACTTAGTTCTCAAGAATCAACCCCTTCCCAGCCTCTACCCTCAAATTCCTTGAGATCGACCTTTGTAGATTCCCTGGATCATGCGGCGCTTCTTCTCCGGGGACTTGTTTATTTCACTTCATATAATAATCTCCAGTTCCCTGTTGACACATGGAGGGGAATTTTGGAAAACATGCCCCACGAGGTTCATTTGGTGGCCAAGAAGCCCATGTTTGAAACAGGACCCTGCACAATTGCCAGCTGCCATTACTTTCGCATGTGCTGTGGCCACGTGTCTCACTCTGCCTGCCCTCCCCCAGTGGTCCTCTGTGAGGTCCAACCATCAGATACCTGGACGTGCCAAGAGGAAGACCGGGCATTGTGGGTGGGAGTCAGCCAGCTGAGAGGCTTGAGGACTGCAGAAGGTGGGCCACGAGGTGGCTAGGAGAGCTCCTGACATGTAGCCATGGCGATGACGGGGAGGATAGGAGGCCTTGGCTGGCCCAGTCTATTTCAAGCCAAGTCCTCAGGTCTGCTAAGGTCTGGAGGACACTTGACACACCATGAGCTTATCCTGAGTGCTGTATTCACAGTTGTTGTGACACTGAATCAACATGTTTTTATATCTCACTGGTCAAATGGTATCTCCAAGTTGCTTTGTTGGTCCTGGGCATCCATCCAAGGATGATCTGTGTGAGGTCCAATCTATCCACACATTCTAAGAAAATTCACCTGGAAGGTAGTGCAACTTCTTCCTACCTGGATGTCACGGTGTCTTGTCACTGAACCCAAGGATCTGCCTTCTCTCACCACCTCCCCAGCTGGATCATAGGCTCAAGAAGGGCAGGGAATGACATGGAGAGGGGACAGAGATGGGCTTGGGACCATCCCAGCTCTGTGTTTGAGTAAAGACTTCTGTTCCCAGACTTCCCATCGGCCTACCCATGGGCATCGATACCTCACCATGGAAACCCAAGACATTGCAAGAGACTGTGTCCCCAGGTCCTGTCTCTTGGGTTCATTTGCTCTCCTCCCCCAGGCCCGCTGCAGATTCTGCTCTGTGGTGCCTGAGGAAGATGCTCTGTCAAACTTCCCCCAGTGTGACGGGCAGGGCAGGACAGAGGAGGCTGAACATGGGGTACCAGAACACAGGCACATAGAAGGCATGAGTTCTGGGCTTCTGCAACATGGGGGACCATGGTTCATGGTAACATGTTAAATAGTTTATGAAGCACTTCAAGAGAGGATCTCAGAGGCCCCAACATGAAGAGATGACAAGGTGAGGGAGATGCTAGCCACCCTGATTTGATCTTGACCCACTGTGGGCTTGGGATGAAATGTCAGTGTACCCCGTAGATATGTGCTTCTTACCTGGTAGTCAGAAATCGAGATCACCTTCCTGTCCTCGGCCCTTCCTACGCAGCCCTCTCACCCACTCTCTCTTCTCTACAGGACATCCAACCCCTCTGCCTGTCTTCTGTCTTTTCTGTCCTAGAATTCCACTAGGAGGGACTGCAAAGGGCGCAGATATTCTGGCTTCTCGTGTCTCCACCATGGTCTTGAGGTTCCCCGCGGTGCTTGAACATGGGCCATTGTGTTTTTTTGCTGTTTGGTTTTGTTTTCTTGATTGACAGAAAGAAGAAGGCGGCTCTAGAGCTTTGTTTCCTCATGTCCAGAGTTAGTAACACCCCCCTCTAGGGACAGTCATCCCCTGAGACAGTTAAATGAGTGACTCCTGCACCCCAAGGGCTCAACAGGAGGAAGGAAGGAGCTGTTTGAAGCTGTGTTTTCTCTCTTTCTCTCCAGAGCTGTTTTGAAGACAGTGATGGAAGGGAGACCATGAGGAGTGGGAGGCTGGACCTCGCACGCCGGGTCTCCTTAAGTTCATGCAGCTCTTGAACAAACAGCCCCTTGTGACATTTACAGTGAACTCGAAGGCAGGCATTACTGTCACACCCAGTTCACAGATCTAGAAACCCAAGCCACAGCTGGCCTCAGTGACTCACCCAGGCTGCCCAGCGGGGCCGGCCAGATCCCAGGAGCCTGGACAGCACCTTGCTCAGACTTCCCACCCTTCTATTGCAGGGGTGGGGAAGTGCAGCCAGGGTCCCTGGGTTCAGAATCAGGGCCACAGACATGGTGAGCAGGCCCTGGCCAGTTCAGGGTCTCCTCAAACAGCAGGGGGTGGAGCCATGACCCTCGCTCTTTGCAGGCTGTCCTCCGAAGATTAAAAAAAGGAAAAATACCCTCCTGCCTTTCAGAATTCATTTCTTCCTGGCCCAGGTTCTTCTTTCAATTCTTGGTTGAAGTTTCAAGCTGTGATCTCGACAGGTCAGAGTAGAATTTGTAAGATAACTTTCTGCATCTGAGAGGCTCAGGCCCCACAAGGTAAAAGAAAAAGATTTCAGCGCCTCCCGCCATGCCGACTCCTGACGGTGGCCCCCAGGCCTCGCCGGACACTCTCACTTCTTGTTCTTGTGCGGTCCCTCTGCTCCATGTCACCCTCTGCCCATTCACGTGCTTGTCTAAGCCTCTGTGTGCCTCAAGCACCCTCGGGTGCACCTGTCCCTGGCTCACCTCCCTCCACCACCAATCTCACAGATTGCATGCACTGAAGTCTCTGATGTCGCTCAAGGGGCCCCAGGGTCTCTCCTCCACAGTGGCAATGCCACATTTTGACTGACGGTTTTCTCTGCTGCAGCTCAGACCTTCCACATGGCTCCCTCCAGACTCTGGGGGTATTGGTCTGGTGTTGGCCAAAGACAACGCGACTGTTTACCCCTACATACTCACCGCTACCTGGCCAGGCCTCTGACCTCTGACCCGTGGCTCTGCCCCTCAGCTTTAGTGCCTGCCCCAAGCTCTAGTTGATGCTTTGACCACTTAGGTTGGCTTCTCCAGCTCAGCAGCCTTGAGCCAGAACTTGATCGCTGATACTGGGACCCAGGAGGATGAGTTGCTCCCTGGTTCCAGGTTGGCTCATTGGGTCCAGCACTGGGTCAGCTCCTCCTGGCTGAGGGTCTGGCCCTGGCTCGACTCTCTCACTCATTAACCACATGCCCATCCCAGGCCTGCTCCTCTGTATGTGATGAACTATGAAATAGTTTTTTTTGTTGTAATATTCTGGAAAATGCCATGGGTGAGCCACATGTTTGGAAGGACTTCGCTCTGCTTTTATATCTTTCTAAACAGCTGAATATTTGGAAGTTGTTTTCTTCAAGCGACTTCAGGAAAGTTCAAGACCCAAGATGAGTTTTTAAAAACAGCCTTATGTGATCTCTAAGGAGGAATCCTTAGCCCCACTGAAGGCCTCTAGCAATGACTAAGACAACCCTACCCAAAGTGTGCACAGCCCGGAGGGACAGTGAAATGGCAGATGCTATCACACAGCCCCCCAGAGATGCCAAGAAAGCGAGTAAAGTGAGTGGGTTTTTCTTGTTAGAGGAAACGGGACCTGGGCAGAGGGAAGGATGCTTTCCCCAGGAAGATGAAGACATTTAAGCTTTAGCAGGAAGGGAGACCCTGGGGACTTGGCTTCTGTCTTCAGAGATGAAAAGATCAGGTTCCAGTCTTCTCTATAACATGGAAGCAGGTTTGACCCCAAGGTCGTGGGGCAGCGGACTGGTGGGCCTGCTGGAGGCCGGCACCCACTCTGGTAGGAGAGGCTTCGTAGCAGACAAAGCCCCCCTTC